GACAAAGCAACAACATGAAAAAAAAAAATTAGGATGAGAAAAAAATGGCTTTCTATAATTCCTGGGGCAAAATAAGTAGTTCTGCCTTCTCCCCACCCCAGTGCTCATTCTTGCCTGCTCTCATCTTCCCACGCGTTGCACCACGACAGCTTTCTCTGACAGTTGAGTTGATTCACAGCTGCCTGTATGGTCTCACAGTGGGATCTGCCAATGAGAAGGAGAAAGGCAAACACGTCTTAATACGTTTCTGTGGGACAGGTTATTTCCATTTTGTTGCTTCCTTATTAAAAACTATCAATTAAGTAACTGTTTTGGTTTTTTTACCCAAAGTGAAATCTCTAACCACATGCTAGCAGAGCTTTGCCCAAGTTCAGAGTTGTATACCCTACCCTTCCAATCACAACTGAAATTGTTCATAAACTTGAAAAACAGTAGTTGTTTAGGTTTTTGGTTTAGGTCGGTTTTTTTATAAATGCCTTCTCTTACTATCTTGCCCAATATCCTCATTTGAGACTATGCTAGTGTCAGTGCATTTTATTTTGGAGATGGTCCCAGTGAGCTGCTTCCATACAGGACCGCAATAAAATGTGTTTGTTTTGTGAATGAGGAAGCGCAAAGGACTTTTGTGTAAGAATTTTTCTGTCATTTCAGAAGTCCTTTCCTAGTTTTCTTCTACTCAGTTTAAATAGAAATCCCAAAAAAATCCCAACAACTAACCATTAGGAGTTTCATGTAACCCAGCTGTAACCAAATGATCCAAATCTCATTTATCAACATAGTAACAAGCATGGAAGAGAGCCTAATGCCATGGAAATCCATGGAAGACACGACTGAAACACTCCAGGGTTTATTAGCTGAGATATGTATCTGAGAAATCTCTGGTGTGACAGACAATTAACTCCTCTGGCTCTCACAATTAGACAGTTAGTTTTTATTTAGTAGAACAAGTGAAGGGATTGTTTATAGAGCTTATTTATAATGCTTCCTCATTTTGTTAGTATTAAATCACTGCTAAGAATCATTCTGTTCAGGTATTCTGACCATAATGCGCTCAATTGTTATCACATCGTTTCTCTTATAGTCAGGATAATGCATTAGGTTTTTAATTTTGTAGTGGGGTTTGGAGATGTTTCTTTGTCGTTTAACCTACTTTATTGGGATTTTACAGTTGCGAACCACCTAAAGGTGATCTGTTGCAAGATGTGTGTGCCATCTCCTGGTCAGCGATATTGCCACCTGCAGTCTAAAACATTTCATCTTCATAAAACTTCCTTTCAGCATCCCGATTTATCAGAATTGACCTTCGCCAGTTTCAAATGGC